CCAAGGTGGCGATTGGGCCGCTTTGCTGCATATATCCCAAAAAGGCAGAGCACGATTTCCAGCCGACAGGTAAAACACCCGGCTCTTGTTGTGCTTAAGGAAAGCCACCCCTCACATTTCCAGGACAACCCTTTTTCCGATTTAAACGTGCAGGCAGAGGAAGATGCCCAGGCATCTGCATCGGGCCATGACAAGACCGTGGCTTTGGTTTCACAGCCGCTCTTGCTCTGACCTGAGGGTGGCTGTGAAGGCTCTGGGCAGAGAGAGGATGGCCCTAATGTAGTGTCTGGGGTGACCATTTTGGCTGGGTTTTATCCATAGGTGGCAGCAGCTGCTTGCGCTGGGCGGACGCTGCCCAAATCCCAAACCTGGCACCGAGCAACACAGCCGGGAAAATGCAGCGCAGGAGGAGTGGGAGAGCAGAGCCTGAGCACAGGTCCTGCCTGCTCCCTCCACTGCAACAGAGGGAGAATCCAGCAAAGCCCTCAGTGATGCAGGATCAGGCCCTGTAGCACCATACGAGAGCTCAGGTCTGCGTGCCTGCCGTGCCGGGAGCAAGCGCTGCCTTCTTACTGGCGAGGAAAATTGCTGCGTGCTCTGGTGCAGGGTGGTGGGGAAGAGGCTGCTGGGCGACTTTCTCACCATTGACCAAATTCCTGAAGCCACTGGGATGTCACATCCCCAGAGGGAATCTGGCAGCAGCGTTAAGCCTTGTTGGCTGGGCATTGGGGTGCCCATCGTCCCCAGCATTAGGTAACACCCATCCATGATGGCCCTGACACCCATCCGTGATGGCCCTGACACCTATCCGTGATGGCCCTGACACCCATCCATGATGGCCCTGACACCTATCTGTGATGGCCCTGACACCCATCCATGATGGCCCTGACACCCATCCGTGATGGCCCTGACACCTATCCCTGATGGCCCACAAGGGCTGGCAGTAGCCAGAGGCAGCAGCTCCTTCAGCTCCGCAGCCTTTGCTGGCTTCCAGATGTTTCTGCCAAGTAGGAAATGAGACATGAAAGGTGATTGCCCAACAGCACGCACCACCAGCAGATAGCAAAAGCCAGTTGCCAGCTGTAGCGTGGAGCCCAGAGACCCAGGTTTAAAAAAAAACCAAAACCAAAAAAGGAAAACACAGAACCCTTGCCCAAAAGCGAACTGTAAGGAGAGTAGCAGGCAACTCAGAGGCTCTAATCAGAGGAAAACTGAAGAGAAAATCTATCCAAATCTTGTCATCTGCTTGCTTTTAAAAACAACTGATTCTCGATCAATACAAATGAAATTTCTCTTCCCCTCCTCAACACAGCCAGGTAGGCTTTGTCCTGGGAAACCAGACTGGATGCTCCCTCTGTCCCCCCCACCCCGGCGGCTCTGTCCCACCAGCGCCGCTCCCGCTCCATCGTTAAGGCAAAGCGGATTTGGCTTTGGGATGAAGAGCAGAGCAAGACACGTTTTGCTGGAGGCTGTCGTTCATCCACGTGGGGAGATGACCTCCCCTGGACCCCCGAAGCCCCGATTCACGCCCCGTGGCTACGGGTGCAGCATCGCGGCCCCGGTGCTATCTGCTTAATGAGCTGATGCTTTAAAAAGCGGCCCCAGACGTGGGTGTGAGCGGTGTCGTTGCACAAAGGGACTCGGAAGTGTTTGTTCATCTCTGCTCCACCATTAATTAAAGCAATTAGCCCGCTCGGGCTTGGTGGGGTACAAAGCCATCCTGTATCCACCGGGAAAAATATACCCCGTTCTAGAATAGACTATACCAATATACTCATTGCTCTGTAGGTTATTAGAGGGAGTTAGGGTGCAGGGGTGCATCTCTCAGGAAGGATTTGGGGAGGAATCTGAGAAATCACACCAGCTTCCCTAAAACAGAAGCGCCTTTTCAGATCTGAGGCACACGATTTTTAGCCTTTCTATTTTTCCCCTCCAGGCCAGAAAAATCTTCCAAGCCTGTGCCCTAGAGCTCTCCCTGCTTTGCAGCTGGCACGGCTGGGGGCGAATGCTGCCCAGCAGGGCCGGCCTGGGGGTCCCAGGGACCCCAAAATCAACCCCCTGATCAATCCTGATCATGAGGCAAAGAAGCGAAGCCTAATGCTGGGCACGAAAACAACCACGTGGCTGTTTAAACTGGTATTTGTATATTCAAAGTCCACCCCAGCCTTTAGCCAACTCCTTCCCTGGAAAGCGCTGAGTCAGTACCATCAGTGGGGAAACTGAGGCACGGCTGGAGCCACTTGGTCCCGAGCTGGATCACACATGCTCTTGTGTTGGTCCTCAAACCTCTGGGGTAGACTTTGGAAATACACACTTTATTTACAGCCCCGTGGTGCCAAGGCTTTCCCCGAAGCTGTCCCGGATGATTTCCTGGGAGCGTGCATATGGGCTGTGCACGGGCCAAGTGCCCATCCCAGTGGTGATGGCAGGAGCGTTGCCTCAGCGCCACGGGCCAAGCGGGGGGATCTGGGGACACGGGTCACCTGGAGCGTCCCCATGCCGGCGGGGTCTTGCCCTGCTGAGAAACACACCCCCCAGGGCAGCTCGGCCCTTTTGCAGCCCCATGATCTGCACGGGGAGATCAACGTCCTCCTGGAGCAAACCAGCACTGCCAACCCTGAAGCCGGCCGCTCGCCCCCGCTGCCTGAAGGAAGAAAAATCCCAGGCTGGGAGAGGAACGAACCCCATTGCGTGACGAGCTTGTGCAAGAAGCACCCCAGGCTGGGAAATGGGCTCCCTCCTGTCTCCAAACCCTAAAATGGCTCAGAGCATCATCTCCCCCCCCAAAAAAAACCCCTGCCGTTTCCCGCAGCAGCACCCAAACTGCAAGATTTTATTGCAAACCCTCCGCGTGCCGGGCCGCAGCACGCTGCTCTGAAGTTCTCATTGAATTTGGGAGAGAGAACAAATGAGCAACGCTTCAGCTATAGCAGATCCCAAACCGCCTTGGCGGCGGTCGCGCCCGGCTCTTGCATCGCTCCGGAGCGCTGGTTTGACACTTAAAAGCGGATTCACTTTGTGTCCTCAACCGCGTTTCCGCCCCACGCGGCGAGCGGTTTTCGGTGCCGTTTTGGTTTTCCTCTTCCACAGATAGGGCATTGCCTTGGCTCTCCAGGGCTGGTTCCCTGCCATCCCGGCGGTCCGTGGCACAGCATGGACACCGCGTAATAGCGGGACCCACACACGGAGGGGCTGTACTTCGGCGCGAGCTGTACTTGGACCTTGCTGCAGGCTTTTTTCCCCTAAAATAAAGCCTTCTCCCCCCCAGGCTGAGGC